TTCTTTTTTTTTAATGTTTATTTATTTTTCAGAGAGACAGACAGAAAAAGAAGGCACGCTAGTGGGTCACGGGCAGAGAGAGAAAGGGGGACACAGAATCCACAGCAGGCTCCAGGCTCTGAGCTGTCAGCACAGAGCCCAACATGGGGCTCAAACTCATAAACCATGAGATCATGACCCAAGCCAAAGTTGAACACTTAACCGACTAAGCCACCCAGGTGTCCCTGGCATTCTTTCATGAGGTACGCAGTTCTTTACCATTTTGTGAAAATTGAAACTCTAGGATAATTGTTGGGTTTTTTTGTAATTAATGTAGTTAAGGAATATCATTGGGTTACTTCGGGGTTTTTTTTTTACTGACAAACTTAAAACTGTCTTTAATAATAACTTGAAGGTTTAAAAACAAAATAAGGATAGAGAGTCTCAAAGGATATTCTTCTCTCCTCTCAACAAAGAATTTTTTTACATGTTTTTTTCTCATTCTTTTTACATTTCCTCCCCACAATCCTCCGTGCCTTATACACAGCTAGATCCATTGTAGATGCAAGATAAAATGGTTTTGAATGATTGAAAAAGGGTTTATTAATCGTTGTGTGGAAAGAATCCTGACAGATATCAGCATGAGCAAAGCGTTCATTTCCTCTTTAGATATTTATGCAGAAAATTCACTCTCAGGTCTTCATTTCAGCTGGTGGCGGGTAATGCGGCCACAGGGTCACAGCTTCACGAAGGACGGTGGCCAGACAAGAGCTCAATGGTCGTGGTGGAAGGTTCTCCTGGCTCGGGCTACCAATCAAGAGGCCAGGAGAATGCTTCATCAGCTTGAAGCAGAAGAGCTTTGCAAGAAAAGAGGGCCTTGATGGCCTGGCCAAGATTAGCTGTGCTGCAACAACGAATAACCACCCAAACTCGGTGGCTTTACAGGAAGGTCATGTACCGACCTTGTCACACGCCGGTGCAGGTCCTGAAAGCCTGCCTCTGTTCCGTAGGCTCGCCACCTGGATCTTATGACCCCCGAGGCTGCAGCACCAGGCAAGGACAGAGCTGGAGAATGGTGTAAGGTGGTCTTTAGTGCCAGGACTGAAAGCGGCATGAGTCACTTCAGCCTATACCCCATCCGTCCAGACTCACTTACTTGACCCCAGCTGCAAAATAGGCTGGGAAATGTGGTTCGGTTGTGTGCCTAAGAAGAATGTGGTGGAGATCACATAGCATTCGATTGCCACGGAGAATCAGGGGGAAAGAGTGACAGCAAAGGAGTAGGACGCAGAGAGCACCTGTGTGGTGGGAAGTAAGGGTACGTGCCAGCTTCTCTAGGGGCTTCTGGCCTGGTATGTTTCACAGACACCATCCTTCATTATACTTGGCTACATGGGAGGATAGCAATTTAAGTGCAAATTAGTGAGCTGTGGCATCCTGGAATTCATACCGGCGAATTCGATACAATACCCTTCTCTGTATGGATACAGTCCGTGACAAATCGGAACCCGGGGACATGGCAAGCACGGGGTGAGCAGCCCATGTGCACCGAGACTGCATGTCCCTATAGGGCATGCGCTCAAATTACTTGAAGGGCCCAGGCCTCCGCTTGGCACACCTGCTTACAGCGCAAACTGGAGGGCAGAGGGGACAGAGGCTAGTGGGAGCCCCCTGGTCTCACTGCCCTCCAGGATTAGACCCATGGCCCACAGCGGGAGGACACATCTACCCTTCTGTTCACTTTCAGAGCAGATCGAAGCCCCTTACACTAAGATTCTGGCAAAGAAACATAATCCTTTGAGACACTTGCCTTTTAATTGTTGGGTGGTTTTCACAACACAGCTATTCCCACGGGGTCTCTACAACCACTGTCGGATACTGCTGCATAAGCGCTGTAGGAAACGCTCTCCGCAGATTTCTCGCTTGGGACATCCGTTCAGCCTCAGACTCATTCAGCCTTTCCCAATAGGCCGGTGAGTCCCAGCTCTGGGTGTGACACTAGAGGTGTATCTGGTTGTCTAAGGGAGAGTGGCAGGTTGGGGGGGGGGGTGGTCACAAAGTCTGTAAATCGAGTATAAATTTATTAAATGCTCAGTAGCATTTTTATGAGCAAGAAGGTGTTTCCTGAGGGGGACTTCATCCTAGAAGCCAAGGCCCTATGCCTGCCCAGTCTTTCTCTCTCTAGTTTCAAGAAGCAGGTACCTCTTTCTCTAAACTGACCAGCATTGCTTTGTCGCTTGTCACTTGGAGGAGGAGGCTTATCTGCTGGACCAGCCATGACCCCTGAGCCAGAAATGACTGCCATGTTGAAGGGGTTGAGAAATGGGATGCCACCAGATCAAACACCGAGCACCCAGACAGCGCGCAGGCTCCAAACATCTAAATAGAAGGATGGGGGACAGCAAGGGAGTTAGTAGAAGAACAGGGCAGATGGCTTGGGACTGGTCTTGAAGAAGCATTTCTATAACAACCACACTTTCACCTGTACTGGATCTCGCTGGAAGGGCAGAAGTTGGGGAAAATTGAGAGAGAGGTTAAAGCTCCCTGCTTTCCAGCCCCGGAGTCTCTCCCTCCCGCTCTTGTTCAGGTTTCCATCAGTAAATCGTCCTGACCGGTATCCATTCTGATGGGAGCTCATGCTTCCCTTGAAGCTGAGGCACGCTGATACTGCCAGGGCGAACCCACCCTCCCTCCCCCCAACCAGGCTCTCCCTAAAAACAGGCAGAGGGAGAGGAGAGGAATCGCCCTAAGATTGTGTAACCTGTAATCCACCAACCAGACTGAGCAGCCCTGAATGCTTGTGAAGTGACTTGTGAAGGAGCAAATGGAGCCATGGGAGCAAAAGACCACTGTGGACTGTCCAGTGCACAGAAGTGAGGCGCCCTCCTCTCTTTGTAGCCGGCCCTGTCTGCACGTGTCTGCTTCCTCCTATGGCAGTGAACGCGTCTTGCATGCTCACTGCAGGGTGTACCTCGAACGACTTGGCACGGCTTTGACAGCTCCTCACCATTCTTGCCCATCCCCCTACCCACCCCAACCCCCGCGTGATGAGGATGGATCTTCTCCAAGCTGCCGAGGGCGAGGGCGGTTGCAGACAAGTGGAAAGGAAACCGACCAACAGACCGTGGAGCTGTGTTTGCAGCCCCAGGGCCAGCAGGGGGCCCCGCATCCCCGAGAGAACGTGCGGATGCTGGCTGCCGCCTGGGGAGGGAGGTCGGACACAGCCTGAATATCACTCTTGGCGCCTTTGATCCCCATAAAGAGAGCCACAAAAGGGAGTCCTGGCCAGATGCCTTTTCTAAGGGTCACAGGCCACTGGGACCACACATTTCATCTTGAGAGAAGAAAGGGATGCAACCTAAGCGCACTCTTCTGAGGGCCCAGATTGTATCTTGTTTTATTTTTGTGTGTGGCACAATTTGCAGGGACCAGCAGCCCTGCCTCAACTTCCCACCCAGGGACCATTGTCAGTTTGCCTATTAAGGTTCTCATTAGATTTTCAGCTGCTGCTCCGAGTTTTTGCTTTTAACAGAAGCAAGAACAACCAGCGACTTGTTTCCTGAAGAAAGCTTGGTGTTAGAAGTTTTTCAAACCTCCAAGAAGAGAGAGAGGTCAAATGAGAATGAGCGGGTCTGGCCTTCCGCGATCTCAGGCCAATTACCCGCCGCAGGGAAGGTCCTTGGGCCTTCCTGCCCGCTCCCAGCTACCGAGGCCTCTGTGTTTAACTGTTGCATGAAGACTTCCAGCACTGCGCTCCACTGGCTCGTGCTAAAATAAGCAACCTTTTCATCGTAGACTGACTTGTGGTCTTCTAGAAATTCTCCAGGTGTATTTCCTGAATGAAGGTGTAGGACAGGCATCTGGAAAGTAAAGGTGTGATCTGACATCAGCCTGTGGGCCACAGACCACCATCAGAGCAAGCTACTTATCAGGGATATAAGCAGTCATTTGTTTCAAATGGAGAAGAAAATTCCCAAAGTTCATATTGTTCAAAAAGAAAAAAAGGTTTTTTTTTTTACTGAGCACTTTCAGATCCCCTTGTATGGAGGCTAAGTACCCAGCAGTGGTGGCGAGGGGCCTAGTGGTGTGTTGTCTGTCATTCTCGGCTTCTTCATGAGCACTTTCTTGAGAGCAGCAGATGGGGGACAGAGGAAGGGTCAGTTCTGGGCTCACTTGTGGTCTTTGGTCAGCTACAGGTCAATGTCATGAGTAATTCAGGAAAAAGAAAATGGACTTGGGTCATGCTTTGTGAGAGCCAGACCAAAAACCAAGATGCAGTGATACCATCATAATCCCAGAAGGTAATGTAATTTTCATAAGTGGGAATTAGTGCTTAAAGACACTAAAGTTAGAAACAACAGCCCCAGTGAGTCATTTTGCATTAAATTTATGAAGAAGAATCATTTTTCATGATTCCTCAGTGGTCCCAGCAATTATGTCTGTTTAAAGTACTGTGTTTCCTTTTTTTTTTTTTTTTTCATTTAGAGGTTTGCAAATTTTGACCAACAGGCACGGATAATAAGACTGTGCTTTAAACGAACTTAAAAAAAAAAAGTGTGTTGATACTTTTTATCAATGCTCACTAAATGTGCTCATTTTAGGAAAGCGATTCCAGCTCTGTTTCCTGGTATCTCTGGCAACAAATGTGTGGATGTATCAGAAATAGTTTTTGTTTGTATTAAAACACATTCCCCATGCCTTTTCATTCCTTCCTGGTGGAGCAGGCATTTTACACTCTGATGCGTAGATAGGGTAACAATTTGTCCATTCTAGTCAACAGCTTTAAGTACTCCATTCCCATCAGGTAAAACCACCTTCCAAAACCTTCCTTCTGCTCCCCTTACTTTCCAGCCTCTAGCCTTAATACATCATTTGTAAACATTGCCAGGGAGGACTTGGGTGCTTTCGTTGGTATCTCTACAAGGATGGGCAAAATGGACCATTTCCAAGTGACCAGAGCAAGTCTACTCCCTGACAGCAAGTCTACTTCCCTGCTGGAAGATCACAGCAATAGGTGCCTTTCAGTACATTAGATCTGCAGCAACATTAGTCGTCTCCGTGGCTTTAGGTTTTGCAAAGGGAAACTGAAATCCAGCAAGTCGTATTAGGAGCCCATTCAGAAAATGAACAAAAAAGCAGATGAAAACAACCCAGAACGAAGCGGTGTATTTTTCACTTTGCGTTTTGTAGGCGTAAGTCCCTTCTTTATAATTTGCAATTTTTTCTGAGAGGTGGTGGATTTTCACTTCCGAGGCAAACAGTATCATGACAAGGCAGCCACAGGAACCTGCGACAGAAGGAACAAACAATGCGTTGTCACAAATATTTCTGGAGTGCAAGGGGCAGGGAAGAGGGTCAGTGTGCAAACCATAGAAAGCCTTTACCATCGCCCTCATGTGCATCCTTCTGCCAGAATGGAGCATTTCAAATTCCTAATCATGAGCCTGATTCTCCAACTGATGGTGGTGGGGCCCAAGTTATGTCTGTGAGCGAATACTTGGTGGAGATGGGGAGGGTAGAATCTAGCTGACGTCACGGACACGGGGAGATGTTCCTCTCTGTGCGATGAGCGGGCTGAGTGGCTGATGGGGCACCTTAAAAGCACAATAGTGGAATCCAGCTACAAAGCAGCCTCTGCTGTGATGTGACGTTAAGAGAACAGATTTCTCTGTGCTTCACAGACTGTGCAGGAATAATTCCAGTCATGCAGCCCCCTCATGAAAGGGCTTAGGGCTTCCTTCAGAAGGGTTCCATGACCTTTCTTTCAGAAGGACTCCCCTTTCCTCCAGCTGCCACCTGGCCACTGCTGCCCAGAGGAATCCCTGAGCAAAGGGAGCCATAGATAAGGCACTGAGGTAGACAGTATCTGTTCTCCTTGTTTCTAACAAAACTTGGGATGTTTAAGTGGGTGTGTGGCTGCCTTGAATACAAAGGCCTCACTGTTTGGTTTTGGGGGGCTGGGTGGTGGCATGAAAGTTACCTTGAAGTATGCATGTATCAGAGAGTTGCCCTTCCTTTCTCCCCTTCCTCCTTCCTGTACCTGAACTATGGATGCAATGGCTGGAGCTCCAGCAGACATTTTGGAACAGGTGGCCTCAGAAATGGAAGCCATGTACTATATGAAAATGAGAAAGGAGGAATCTGGATTCCAGTCACCTGGAGCTACCAGTCCAACCCTAGACCTCTACCTCTAGGTTTTTATGTGAAAGAAAAATAAATATCTATTTGGTTTCATCCACTGTTATTACTTTCCTCTCATGGACCACTCATTGGTGGTCTGATCTAACCTTAATGGTGCAGCTGTGGTGTGGGGTAATCTCCCTGCAGGATAGGACTGAGTGGTGCCTGGAAGCTGTGATAGGTCCTCTCCCTGAAGATGGAGAAGGGGAGATGCCCAGAGGGCTGGGGGGCACAGAGGGCAGAAGCAGGTGGCGAGACCACGAGCACAGCGGAGAGCAAGGATGCCAAGGGCTTCCACAGCTAGTGCTGCGTCCCAGGCCACCACAGTGGGGTTCTAGTTAATAGGAGACTCACTGAGATGGTCTTCTAACTTAGGTCAAACCGATTTGGATTCAGACCCTGCTTCTTCCACTTACTCTGTGAAATCAGGCCATGTTAATCTCAAAGTCTCAATTTTCTCATCTCCAAAATGTGAATAATGGAGATGATGTGCGATTAGCACTTGACATTAGAACTGACGCATAAATGCTTACTAATCTGTAGCTATTCTTATGCTTTTTATGTATTCTTTTCATCTTGCAAGTCCTTACCATAATCCCTGATCCCCCACCCCCACCCCACCACACACCAAAAAAAACCCTGACTGTATTAGGTAGGCCACCCAAAAGAATGCACTACAGGGTCTTGTTCCTCCAAATATTCTCCCATTAGGTTTATGACTCCTTTAGGAGGGAAAAGTGCTTTTTACTCTTCACTTACAGTTTATTCAGATACCCTGGGAGCAGCAGTATAGTGGCTTAAGTTCCCATTCATTAATTCACTCACTCATTTATTCCATTTGAATTGTTATGTGCCAAGCACAGGGATGGATGTTTAAACATTAAAGAAAATACGTATGGTTTCTGCTCTCACAGAGAACAGAATCAGGCAGGGAACACAGACAAGACAATTATAAATGATTTGCAGCGAGTGTAATTGCAAGGGCGGTACAGGTGGCTATTACTGAGAGGGTGGGCAGCACCATGGAAGGTTCCGTGGAAGTACTATAGGAAAAGTTAGCTGAGCAAAGGGAGGCTGGACCAGTGTGGGGACAGCAGTGTGGACATGAGGAGCTCTAATACAGATGATGGTCCCCATTTCTTTCTCAAAGGTCAGTTTGCATTGGGATAGAGGTAGAGCTGGAATCGTGTGGGGGTAAGAGGTGAAGGGTGGGGTGAGCAGGGAAGGAAATACCCCATTTCTTTCATTTTAGAATTTCACATAGGACTGATCCATCAGCTTGATCATCATAATATACCCCCAAATAATCAAGTGATACAGTTTTCTTGAAACTTCACTTCTCACCAGGCTCAGAGCAGTAGTTGAGAACATTCCTTTGTAAAATTTGTCAGCCTATTTTTGTATTCTGAGCTTAAAACCAGAGCTCTCCCCTGGCAAAATCGTATTATTCCTTTCTTGTTAGATCCAACAAAAAGCCCGCAATGCTGTTTTCTCTTTATCTTTTATTTGAAAATTGTGGAGAAAATGCCATTGCTTTTACCAGAAGAACCTTCTTTGTCTGAGGAGATGGTGAATTTCAGGCAGAAGCGAAACACTGTATTTCTTTAGTGCTTGAAAGGAAAATTCGAGCTAGGTTTCCTTTTCGAGTTGTTAAATATTTTAAAGGTACTACTTTGTTAAGGAGACAGCATCATAGTGAGACTGCATTTCAAATTCCTGAAGTAAAGGTTGCTTGGGGTTTCTTAAGACTCACAGCCTTTCGCCACAGCTAATCATCCAAGTGTGCAAGCTCCCAAAACAGAGCGCACGGTCCAGTAGTTGAGAGGATGCTCTGAGATTCTGTTCTGGATTCTGGAGTTGACCATGAGGTCGACTTTGTCATTTCAGAGTCGGAGCACAATAAGCTCGCTTGAATTTCTGGCAACCCGGTAACTGTGAAGAGATGTGAAGGGAAACAGCTCACTGTGATATTAGGATATCTTTGCTTCGCTCTGTCCATGGCTCTAAAAGGATATGGGACCAAGGATAACTACAACTTATGGACCGAAAGATACACATGAAACATATCTTCTCTTTGTAGCCTGGATGCCAGGCAGAGGGGGAGAGGAGTGTAAGGGATGAGGGTGATGGTGGGAATAGGGCTTAGTACTTTTCCAATATGGCCCTTAGTCCCCAGCAAGGGGCCTCCTGCTATGATTCCCACATTTAGATGGTGCTACTCTCTCTCTTCTAGAAAAACCTTTCCTCACCCTGTGGTGAGGGTCAATGGAATGAGCCCACCTTGAGTCCCTGACCCTCATTCTAGCCTGTATTGCTGGGACATGGGAATTCCCTTCCCACACGGCCCTGAGTGCATTTCCAGGGCTGCATGGGTATCTATCTTCCTTGGATCAGTCCCCCTAGGGGCAGACTTTGTGGCTGGTGCTGCCCAGCCCTGAGGCCTGATGATGGCCAAGGAACAGCTATTTTGAGGGCGTAGTCAAAGCTCGGATACACAATAGAGTGTACACTTGGGGCCCTTTACAGTGTGGACAGAACTAAGCAAGAGGAGGGAAGCGAAGAGACAGGGGCCAGCTCTTCTCTGTCACCACATTCAGGTCCAGAATTCTAAATCTGAATCTAGTCTTCCGGGCCCTTATGGAGAGATGTGTGTCAAGGCAGAAGGATAGAACGAGTCTCATTGAAGAGCTTATTAGCTTATGACTTTTACATGACTAGATAAGCAGTATGTGGACTTTCATTAATAGTCTTGCATAAGGCCTCACAAATGTTAGGATCAGGCCCGTACGCTTCCTTCTTCCTTTCCCCAGCTGTATCTGCGTACACCAGGGGTCCAAACTCAGCTGGGGCCATTTGAACAGAGGCCTCACGTGTTTCTCTGTCTGGCCAACACCGCTCCTGCTCACAAGAAAGGTTAGAGTCCACTAGACATAGGAAAGCCTGCCAAGACCTGCTCCAGCTAGAATTTGGAACCTAACCCGGCACAAGACCCATGTTTTGCTGTCAAGCGTCTTACTCAAAGACCAGCCATTCTCCTTTATGTGTTTGATTGCCCCGCCATCTGGCTGGTACTGTAATGTTTTTTTCTCCCTTTAATGACTGATTACGGAGTTAATCCCTGACTGAAAAGGAGAGCTGAGTTATAGAGCTGTCACACAATGAATTACCAGTCAATTAACAAACGTTTGTAATGTGCTAGACACTGCACACTCAGGACTGTCCTCTGGCAGCTGTCTGGGACTGCACAACTGGACGCCTCTCGCCTCCAGTCCTTACAATATAGGAAACAAAGGTCACAGCCCACAAGAAAGCTGCCTCTTTGTCCCTGGCTGATCCTGAGGGTGACTATGCCTTGAGGGGTGAGACCAGCCTGCCAGGATCTGTGGGAGTTCAGGGTACTGTGGGCTTCAGGGGAAATGTGTCCTCAAAGGTGAAAAAAAGCTCTGATACATTCCCCTATTATCACAAAGATTGTATTGTGGGAAATAATAGAATTTCAATTCCATTTAAAGTAATGGCCAACATTTCCAGAAAGCTAGCATGTCATCTTTAAACTCTCCTACAGATGACAAATATTAGAGGCATTCCATTTCCTCTACAGAATGATAAATTGATAATTTCCTTCTTTAAGGAGTCTTGGAAGATGATAAATGGGAGGTGGGAAAACCAGAGCTTTGCAGATGTAGGTACTAATTTTCTGTGAAATTATGCAATCTCAGTAGAGGCCGGTTATCAAAGGTGAGGTCTCCAGCAATAATTCCTTCTGCAAATGAAAGTGGTTCTGGCTTCACCCTGCTGTAGAGACCAATGGCTGCCATCTAGAAAAGGGACAGAGGGACAAGTAAAGCAAGTTAATACCTAAGAGTAGAATTTGAGGTCTTGATGGGGAGAAAGTTGGTTACGTGTTTCCAAGGAGCAGGTGTGGATGAAAGAACACCACCAGTTAGGTTTAGCTTTTTCTCTTCATCTTCTGTACTGGAGAGCTGGAGAGCCCACATCGGACTTCAGTTTTACTAATGTCATGTGAGTGAAAGTGGTGATTTGTGCAAAGAAGAAATGAGCTAAAAACACAATCGTCCTCTAATTTGAATTGACTTTCAGAAAAGG